AATCTGTCTTCCAGCCCGAGCACTGTTCGGTATTTTGGCCATATCTGGAGTTCTAGAAGTCCAAATGAGCTGAAGTTTTTACACAAGAAAGCTGAGACAATTGCCTACAACTTTCATGTTTGCAACTGGCTCCAATTTTGACGTTATCAATGACGTTTTGGGCAGACAAGAGAAGATAAGGATTGTCACCAAGTCAAAAGTTGGTCACCCACTTATCAATTAGTCATCAAATCAATAGTTCCCATTTTTGGCCTATAAAAGGAGGCATTTGCCATGCATTTAGGCATCTTGGTGTTCAGATCAAGATCATGCTCTTCCTTTCTCTCTTTGTATTTTTTATGCTTTGTTTTCATTAATATTAAGTTTATGCCTTTCATTTCCTTTCCTTTACTTAGTTAACTTTTATGTTCTTATTTTGTTTATCTATTTTGCTTTCTTTCATTATGTCTAGCTAAGTTAATTATGTCAAGGTGAAAAGGTTACACTAATGGTGTAAGAATAAGTATAATGTAAACTTAATATGGACTTTAATGTTTGATACTAACATGTTTTATATTTGCTATCTTGTTCACTCTTTAATACTTTGCTTGTTAAATGACTAATCTTGATTTATGTTGTATAACACTTGGTACAACAAATGCTTGGCACTTTCTTGCAAGCATAATGGTGAATTACAAGCTTTTCAAACAACTACAATTGAGCATCTAGTTGATATTGGTGAGATTGAAATAAGTAAAGGAGTTAATTAAATAGGTGGTTTGCAATGACCTGGAGATAATAGATAGAGCTCGCACTTCAAATCAATTTGCAGTTTGATAAAAATATAAAGGGCGACTTGCTTGGTTCTTGAAAACATTGCTTTAGATGGATCTACTTATTCTCAAAGTGGTGATGCGGCCTTTTCATTTAAGTTGCTAATGTCATTTGATTTTGCATTCTTCTTACATATAATAAAGAATGTTACGGGAATTACTGATATGATTTATCAAGCATTGCAACAAAAATCTGAAGACATTTTAAATGCTATGCATTTGGTAACTAGCACAAAGACTTTACTTTAGAAGTTAAGAGACAATGATTGGAAAACTCTTGTAGAAGAAGTGATATCATTTTGTAAGCATCAAGACATTGAAGTTTTGATATGGATGCTTGTTTTTTTTAGTGTGGGACAATCTCGTCATAAAACAAAATCAGTAATAGTTGAGCATCACTACCAAGTTAATATATTTATAGCTATCATTGATCAGCAATTGCAAGAGCTAAATAACAAATTTAATGAGCAAGCGATCGACCTTCTTAAATTGAGCACAGCTTTAGATCCTAGAAATACCTATAAATTATTCAATGTCAACTTATTTGTTGACAAGTTCTATCCTGAAGATTTTTCTGACCAAGAGAAAATTCATTTGAGATTTTAGTTGCAACATTATGAGCTTGATGTACCCAATCATCCAAAGTTAAAGAATGTGTCATCAATTGCAGATTTATGTCAAGGATTGGTTGAAACAGAAAAATCAACAATTTATCCACTCATTGACAGGTTGATTCAGCTTATCTTGACTCTTCCTGTTTCAAGAGCAACTACTGAACGGGCTTTCTCAACGATGAAAATTGTTAAAATAAAACTTCGTAATCGGATAAATGATGATTTTCTTGCAAATTATTTGATTGTCTATATAAAAAAAAATTACTGAAAGATTCACAATTGATATGTTAATAGATAATTTCTATTGTATAAAAGAACAACAAGCATAATTAAAATAAATATGTAACAATTATTATTTTTTATTTTATTTTAAAATTTATTAAACATAAATAATGCTTCGTTTTAGTTAATGTTTTTTATATATTTTGTATGTTTATATTTAATAAATACAAAAATTATTATATATTTTATAATATATTCTTTAAATAAAAATAAATCATGCCGTTTTATTTTATTTTTACAACTTATATATAATAAATTAAAAATATATTATATTTATTTACCCCCCTAATATATTCGTAGCTCCGCCCCTGGTCCAAAGGCCATGAGTATGTGGCGAAAAGGGATTGCTCGATAAGTTTTGGGCGAGAGGTGAAGATCTATAAAGATGGGTTGCTTGTTGGCCATTGGTTCAATTAAATAGAAGAGGAGATGGCGTTGAGGGCCGAAGAACGCTGGTGTTGTGCCTTTGGCTTTTGATACGGCGGTGGCTTTAAAAGGAACGAATGTGTGTGGGAGGTGGTCTGTTGCATGGTTGCTGTTGGGAATATGTGCTATATACCGTGGAGGAGATAGGCGTTTTTGGAGTGGCAGATAGTGGAAATTGAGGGACTCACAGCGATCGTGATTATTGGTTTTAGTAGGATTGCTCGCGATGGAGAAGAATAAAGGAGCTAGCGTTGGGCAGTGAGACATTGGGTGGTGGTTTGATTCGGAGATGAGTGGTTTTGAATTAATTTTATTTAGGTTTTTTTAAAAGAAATTTATGTGTTGATATTAAAAATAAATTTTAAAAAATAAAAAAATATTATTTTAATATATTTTTAAATAAAAAATCATTTTAAAAACCAATTTACATGGCTATCTCAAACAACCTGTCATGCTGTAATGTTTGCAGAACTAAATAAACTACATAGTATGTGAAAAACTTGGCCTACACATTTGCACACCGGGCCACGTCCTGCTAGCAGTTTGAGGCAGGGCTTGCAGAACTAAATAAACTACGTAGTATGTGAAAAACTTGGCCTTCCCATTTGCACACCGGGCCACGTCTTGCTAGCAGTTTGAGGCAGTTTGGAATTACATTCCAAACAATATTTGAAAAAAAATTGATTTTTTTTCTTAAAAGCTGTCCATTTGATCCAAAACTGCAATCACGAAAACAAGAAACAATGCTGTTTTGAAACGATGATAAAATCAGCAGTTCCCTTGCGTTCAATTCATTCTCCTTTTATCCTGGGAACCGAAGACCTTAAATGTGCAAGCAAGATAGTGATAAAAGAAACACGAATTACAAGTTTGAGATATATTAATCTCTTGATATTGAGGTGAATTAGGTATTTGATCGTGTGGAATGGCGTCGAAGGATCTATATTGGCGACCCAATTGGTTTGGGGTTGAGTATTGGTTGTTTGTTGCTGTATCAATTCAACAACTAATCTTAATACAGGGAGTCGACTAGACAAGGAATTCCAATTTAATTTACCTAGTTCGTCAGCCTGCAAAAAATCAATTTATCAATGCCGCCTTGTATATTTTGTTTGAAGTTGAGTAATAAACTTACAAATTAGAGAATCCAATTTGTATGAAGTACTCGTGAACCATTAAGAGAAGGCTTAATTGGCTGTGATGTGCTGCAGAGAGAGTTGCCGAGAGAGGATGTAGAGAGGCTAATTATCCAATCTGGGGGTGTTAAGTCAGAGGGAAAAAGAATGCTTTCAGCCTGGCGGCACTACGACCAAATGTGGTGAAAGAAAGAGAGAGACTGTGTCCAATACCGGATGGTTTGCCGAAATCACCAGAGGATCTTGAAGAGGAAGAGAAAGCTAGAATGCCAGATTCTCCATTTACTAGAATGCTTAGAACTAAAGGGGGGTTTCCTGCTTGGTACTCTTCTGCTCTGACCATGAAACAGATTGATGAACAAGCTGCCTCGTCTCACAAGCCCTGTTGCTTCTTTGTAAAGCTTGTAGAAATGGATGTGGTAGTGTTGATATTGGAGATTTCTATAGATGTTAACGATCCATGTGTTGGATAGATACACTGGGATTTTTTTATCTGATCGTTGTAAGTTACTGTTCCCATCATGTGTTTATTTCGTGTTAATGGAAGTTCTTCGTCCTAGAAAATCTGTTGGCAACATTCAACGTCTTCAAGTTTTGTAAAAATGTATTTCATAGTTTAAGAAGTTATCTTTTATTTTCCTTCTCATTTTGTTTGAAAGTTTTTTAGAATTAATGGGTGCAGATGGATGTTTCCTTTTGATGAAGTTGGAACTCAATGATTTTACAGTTTTGCTGTATAGGCTAGTGTTTTCCCAATGAAGATTACCATTGCTAGCTTTGGCATTCAGCATCTAATAGAGATAAACAAAGTCCTGAAGCCTTCTTACAGTAGTGAATTCGACATCAAATGTTTCGAGTTGTAATAATAAATTCCTGCTGGGTTGTAGGATAATGATATTATCTGTGCATAATGATCACTTGATATTCGCAAGAGGCAATTCTGTTGCAAATCTTTGGAAATCTGGAAGACAGGGAGCTGCGCAACTCCAAAACAGCTCTTGCAACACATTTGATGCAAATTATAAGGTTTCTACTCTACCTTTTCTAGTCCTGCTATGTTATTAATCTTGCTTTCTTTCACAATCCTGATAACCTCAATGCAGCTCAGATGAAAAGCAAGAAGCCATAAAATTGCTTTCCATGACAGTATGTGGAGGAAACATAAGTCTTGTTGTGTTTCTTTTTTTCTTTTTCCTTTTTTTCCCACTATCAAAAACAAAAAGGAAAACACTCAGATTAATACCAGAAGAGATTCTTGTGGTAAAGGTGGCTTACTCTTTATAGTTTCTCGCATCATCTACCAGCAAACCTGTCTGAATCATCACAGGTAGGGCACGAAGATCCCTTGTTACTATAAAAAGGAGTGTAGATGAAGATGGCTATCTGTTATTCTCCAAAAATTGTTCTTCTCCAGTTTTTATGATGTCATCTTGGAACCAAAATTTAGTTAGAGGTTGACGTGGTCAATTGTTAGTTTTTTAGTTATTCTTGGTTTAGCTAAATTAAGACATGTTCCCCACAATCCAAGCAAAACCTTTGCTAATATTAGCAGACAGCAAATTCTATGGTGTCCATAAACTCTGGAAAATTTCGGGCGCCTATAACTGGAGATGTCTTTCCTCAAGCTCTCCATGGCTGTCAATTCTTGCCTTTCTTTTCACTTGATATAACATCCTTCTCATCTTTATTCCCTCCTATAAGCAGCCTTGGGCCTTCCAAGGTGGTCATTAATGGCGAACCTTCTCAGAGCCTTCGGCTGCCTTTTCTTTTTCTCCCTGCTCTTCTCTTCATTCTCAACCTTCTCTCTTGCCTTAACTGATGCTGAAGCATCTTATATTGCTCGTCGCCAGCTCTTGACGTTAAATGAAAATAGTGAGCTTCCTCATGAGTTTGAGTATGAGGTCGATGTGAAAATAACCTTTGCAAACCAAAGGCTGAGGAGAGCGTATATTGGTCTTCAGGCCTGGAAAAAGGCAATATACTCCGACCCATTTAACACTACTGGCGATTGGGTTGGCGCCAATGTGTGTGCCTATAATGGTGTGTTTTGTGCACCAGCTCTAGACGACCCCAGTCTGAGCGTTGTGGCAGGTGTTGATCTTAACGGTGCTGACATTGCTGGGCACCTTCCAGCTGAATTAGGGCTTATGACAGATGTTGCCTTATTCCACATTAACTCTAACAGGTTTTGTGGTATCATTCCCAAGAGCTTTTCCAAGCTCACACTCATGTATGAGTTTGATGTCAGCAACAATCGCTTTGTTGGTGATTTCCCTTCTGTTGTTCTATCCTGGCCAAGCCTCAAGTATCTTGACGTCAGATTCAACGATTTCGAAGGTGGTTTGCCTCCAGAACTCTTCAACAAGGAACTCGATGCTTTGTTCTTGAATGACAACCGATTCACATCCACCATCCCGGAGACAATAGGCAACTCCACAGTTTCTGTTGTCACATTTGCTAACAACAAATTCACTGGCTGCATTCCACACAGCGTCGGCAAGATGGCTAACTTGAACGAGGTCATCTTTATGGGCAATGACCTCGGTGGTTGCTTCCCAGCAGAAATTGGGCTGCTTGGTAATGTGACTGTCTTTGATGCCAGCCACAATGGGTTCACAGGAATCTTGCCGCCCAGCTTTGCAGGCCTAAAGAAGGTTGAACTCTTGGATCTTGCCGACAACAAGCTGACAGGATTTGTGCCCGAGAACATTTGCAAGTTGCCAAGCTTGACAAACTTCACATTCTCGTATAACTACTTCAAGGGGGAGGCTCAAGCTTGCGTGCCTCCATCAAGGAAAGACATTGTGTTGGATGATACCAGCAATTGCCTGTCTGACAGGCCAAAGCAGAAGTCAGCCAGGACATGTTATCCAGTGGTGAGCCGACCTGTGGATTGCAGCAAGGACAAGTGTGCTGGAGGAGGAAGTTCTTCAAAACCTCATCCAAAGCCCCAGCCCACACCACCTACTTCAAAACATGAACCAACTCCATCTCCTCCCAAATCTACTTCTACACCAACGCCACCATCAGCACGGGTCCCCACCCCTCAAACAGCAGAATCACCAAAACCAGAACATGAGATACCCTCACCGTCATCTCCATCAATCAATTCATCTGCCCCATCATCTGATCCATATAATCCAGGATCTGGTGGTCATGGTGAGACACCTTTATCACCAAATTCTGCACCGTCACCTAATTCATTTAGTAGCTCACCCATTGGCCATCACGATACACCACCATCACTCTCTATTAGTCCATCAACATCAAAGATACCTTTATTACCACCACCAAAGTCTGCTCCATCACCTGATGATGAATATAATCCAGGAGCTGGTGGACATGGTGAGACACCACTATCACCATCACCAACATTCTCACTAAAACCCGAGGCACCAAAAACATCACGACAACCAAAAATACCAGTTATAAATCCTCACTCTCCACCACCATCCCCGTCACTTGTGCACTCACCCCCACCACCAGTTCACTCTCCTCCACCACTACCACCAATACACTCACCCCCTTCACCCGTACGCTCTCCACCACCACCTGTCCCTTCATCACCACCACCCGTACACTCACCACCACCACCCGTACAACCTATACACTCACCTCCCCCTCCACCAGTTCACTCTCCACCACCACCCGTACAGTCACCCCCTCCACCCGTACACTCACCTCCACCACCTGTTAAGTCCCCCCCTCCACCAGTTCACTCTCCACCACCACCCGTACAGTCACCCCCTCCACCCGTACACTCACCTCCACCACCTGTTAAGTCCCCCCCTCCACCAGTTCACTTATCCCCACCACCCGTCTATTCACCTCCACCACTAGTTCAATCCCCCCCACCACGACCAGTCAAATCACCACCACCACTAGTATACTCTCCACCACCAGTCAAATCACCACCACCACCAGTTCACTCTCCACCACCACCCGTCCCAGTATACTCTCCACCACCACCATCACCAGTCAAATCACCACCACCACCCGTTCACTCTCCACCACCACCCGTCCAGTCACCCCCTCCACCTGTTCACTCACCTCCTTTACCGAAACACTCACCTCCACCACCCATTCAGTCCCCTCCTCCACCAGTTCACTCATCCCCACCACCATCAATACATTTACCTCCTGTACCAATACACTCTCCACCACCATATGTTAAGTCACCACCACCATCAGTTAACTCTCCACCTCCACCCGTTAAGTCTCTCTCTCCACCAGTTCACTTTTCCCCACCACCCATACACTCATCTCCACCATCAATTCAATTCCCCCCATCACCGCCAGTACATTCACCTCCTCCACCAGTACACTTTCCACCACCAAATGTTAAGTCACCATCACTACCACGACCAGTCAAATCACCTCCACCTTCAATTTTCTCTCCACCACCACCAACTGTATCTCCTCATCCTCATGCTTTTCCTCCACCACCCCCAAAAGAAGATATAGTCCTTCCACCAAACCTTGGGTTCCAATACGCATCGCCACCTCCACCAGTGTTCCCAGGCTACTAGTTAGTATATATGACCATCGTTTGTAGTGCCAAAAAGCTAATTATGTACACGGCTAAAAAGAAACTTTGTTAGTTCAATTTCTTGACCAGGAAATACAACCGTTTTGCTTTCCTTCTCTTCATGGAATGGAAGTTCTTGCTGTTTACATTACTAGAGATTCTTTATCTCTATTTTTTTTTCTTTCATATTCTCACTTCTCTCTATCGCTATCCAAGAAAAAAAGTGAGGAACTTGGAATATTATATTGCTACCTTGACAGTGACAATGAATTGCTTGTAAATTACATTTTCAAGGCTCTGATATGCAGAAAAGAATGGCAGAAGTATCTTTTCTTTTTTCCCTTCAATGTCACATTACTATTGTTTTTGTACTCAGTGTGCATGCCATTAAATTTTTATGCATTATGTTACTGTGAAATGAAAGATGAGAGCCAATTCATCGATTTTTTTTTCTTGAATCTTGATTATGATCTTGACACTTTCTCTGATATTTATGTAAACATGCCAATGTAAGCAAAGAAAAATAGAAAGGAAAACGAAAACTCGGGTCCTTGTATTCCTGAAGCAACTTCACCTTTTGATCCTTGAAAATCCAGTCTTTTGGATCATGCGAACAACTTTTCTTTTGTAACATGTGCTGTTTCAATCCTTGGTTCTGTCATTTCCAGAACCTTTCCTACCAAGCTGGCCACTTCCTTACGAGTTACCAATTCCAAAGCTTGATGCATACATAATGTCACGACCGATTCTTGAATCCAGCATATAGTAAAAGTTCTTCTTTTAACTTTTTTTTATATCTATACAAACTTAAACTTATATACAAATATTATAATTGTAGAGCTATAACTAAATATAATAGAATATCATTAATTATAATAAAAAAAATAGGTTATAAAGTCCAACAAATAAAAGTTAATACAAATATCTTAATAATGGAGTTTTAACTAGATATGATGGATAACAGTAATTATAATAAAAAAATAGATTCTAAAGTCCAATAAAATTGTCTTGCTAACAAAGTTATACCCGTGAAAATAATAAATAATGAGATGATAAATTCTACAATTAAATGAGTAAATAATATTCAATATACATATACAAGGTAATAATAAAGAAAAACATATACAAATTTGACTTTAGGCTTTTATAAAAAAGGTTTATAAACATGTCATAACAAGGAATATCATAAAGTAAGGATTGTGAGAAAATCAAAATGCAATGAGCATGTAATTTCAGACTATGAAATGATCAATTCGCATGGGTTAGTGACCTCTGACTAACTTGGGTTCAATACAATGTGCACAAAAACTAAAACTACCTTGTTAGTATGGGTATTCTGAATGACATACCAAATGGTCATATTATACTCAAATAAATAGAATTATATCTCAAGACTCAACTCATAACATCAATCAAATAAGAAGTTATTAAATCAGATATACACATAACTCATATTCAGAATTCATATTCAATAAATGATTAGGGTCTAACCTATAATCTTATACGTTTAAGAACCAAAATGTAATTATAAAAGCGAAATGGTCACCATGATTAATTTCAAACATAACCTAAACTAACCAAACCTAAAAGAAGTTATCATACCCTACTACATAATCAACTAGCTCAACTCAACTAGTGGATATAAATCTAATAGCCAAATAATTAACCGATTGATCAAGAATTCCATACCAGTTTCACCTAAAACAATATATCACAATCTCAACCCAAAACCTAAAAAATCCAATATTAACTAATACTAAAAGGAACAAATGTTTTATTGTAGTTGGAATTACTGTGGATTGTAAGTGCCTTTACTATGGATTGTATTGTTTTATAGGGCATGATGAGACTGATGACCCATTCCCCTGGAACAGCTCTAGTTTTAGTGAGGCTATAGCCCTCGATTGCAAACACTTGATGTTGGGGCAGACCCGCGCATATGGCTGCGGACCTAAGCAAGCGGGTCTGAACACCTGCTTAGGATGTCGTAGCTTTAGGTCTTGCATCAGAACCCAATTCTGATGGATCCGATGTCATGACCCACTACTCATGGGCCCTACATTCGAACCAAATTCTCTTGGGTCCTGCATTAGAACCTAATGCTCTTAGGTTCTCTGTCAAGACCCAAGGTTCCTAGGCTTCTTAAATAATTATTCATGTTATAAATAATATTATTTTTCTTATGATTCAGGGTATTCATATAAAAAAATATTCTAATTTGTTCTCTAAATATTATTATTTTTATTATAATTCAAAGTATTAATATAAAATATTATTATTTGTGCTATAATTAATATTATTTTTATTATAGTTCTCTTGGGGACTTTGATGCATAACCCATTGGCTCTAAACACAATTTTGTTGGGTTCACAATTAGGACCCAGTGCTTTTAGGTCCTGCATCAAGATACATGGTGCTTGGATCCTAGGTCAAAACCCAAGTCTTTTGGATCCTGCGTCAGGACCCAATTATCTTGGGTCCTCTATCAAGACCCAAGGTTTTTATGTCTTATGTTTCTTAATATAATTATTTTTGTTATAAATAGTATTTTTTTTTTATAATTCAGGATATTCATATAAAAATATTATAATTTGTGTTCTAAATATTATGATTTTTATTATAGTTAATAATATTATTATTAAAAATTCCATTCTTGTTATAATAAATAACATGCACCTAGGTTCTGCAGACTTCCTAAGAGTTGAAGACCTGTACGACTAGATCTACAAATCCTGCAGAGAAGAAAAATAAAAAATAATAATAACAATTATTATTAATATTATTATTGCTAATAATTAATAATTTTAAAAAAATATTATTATAAAAATTTTGGTCGGGCAGGTTTAGTATTATTATTAATATGGTAAATATTATTATATTTATTATAATTAAAAGCATTACTATTAAGAATATTATAATTGTGATAGAAATATTATAATTTTTATTATTAATATTAAAAATGCCATTATTTTTATTATAAATACTATAAACTTGATTATAATTAATATTACTTATTTAATAATTAATAAATTTGTAGAAAATATTATGAATATGGAAAAGCAATAGCGTTGGGTCCTACTAAACCCATCAGCGTTGGGTCTTGCACCCAACAACACCCAACAAACAGGGTTGGGTCTAGCCCCAACAGAACCCATCAAATAACTTTATGTCATGCCCGTAACATGAACCAATAATGTAATTTTATTTCCTTTTCTCTTATGTTTTTTTCACAAGGTAAAGAGGAATTATTATTATTATTATTATTATTATTATTATTAAATTAAAAAAATTACTATCAATGGAAAATAATAAATTTTATTTAAATAGATTAAAACCTATAAACAAATTAGGCCATACAAATTTAATATTATTATTAATATTACAATAATCTATTAACTTTGTTGGTCATGGGTTGATGATTGTTGTGTAGGGCTTCTCCTTCCCTCTTCTAGTTAGTACATCTCATCTTTTTTTGCACACTGTTTTCCTTTTTTAAGGTCCTCTTCCTTCCTCATCTCTTTAACTAAGTGTCCTTGGCGTTATTTAACTTTTAACATATCATATCTTTATCTTTGTTGTTGAAACCATTCTATTCTTATTATTGAGCTATTTTCAAATTGCAGAGAGCTTAAACACCACCTTCTCAGCTTCTCCCTATCTTACTGAAGTTATAGTTGTATCTTTACTTTTAAACTTAATATTCTTCATGCCTACAACTTTATTGCTATATTTTTCTTTTTCATTTTATGCCTAATTTTATATGTATCAGTTCGAAATTATTTATATATACATGTTCATCTACTCGATAATTAGGTTTTATATTGAATTTCTTATTCATATTCTTTCATGGAGTAGGGTTTTTTTTCTTTTTCATTGAAATTTTCAGTTTTGTACTGTTCACCTCTCAAGTTTAAATTTTCTTGCTGACTTTCTAACTCTCCCCATTTGTTGCAGGCCTGTTGTTCCAATTTTTGTTAATCTATCTGCACATTACATGGAACTGGAACACCTCTTTCTTCTTATCTTACTCAAGTTATAGATGCACCTTTATTTTCAAAGTTGGTTTGCTTTTCCATTCTATGCTTAATTTTTTTCCACATTACATGGAACTAGAACACCTCTTTCTTCCTATCTTACTCAAGCTATAGATGCACCTTTATTTTCAAAGTTGACTTGCTTTTCCATTCTATGCTTAATTTTTTTCCAAATCAGTTTGAATTTTTTCATGTGTTCATGTTTCCTCTATTTCATATAAGTTTTATGTTTAGTTTCTTATTCTTTTACATAATTTTTATTTTCTTTTCCATTTATGTTCTCAATTCTAACCATGTTATTAAAATTACCTTGATTGGAAAATTTAAAGTTACTACCCTTGCGAATTTAGGTTTAATTAAACTGATTTTGACCATTTAGATTTTCTTTTAACTTATAGAAACGACGACTTTATGACTAGCAATCGACTAAGATTACAACCATTCGATGATGTTGAACCTAACGTTTCTTCACCATATAACTTAACAACCCAAATTTATAGTGAAGGAAATTTGGGTCACCAAAATTTTTCATTCACACAAGCAACACCATACAACTCTAATCATCTAATTAGTGATCCCTTGCTTTTATATACAATTGATGTTAGTGCATCATATTGTACTTCCTTATAATGAAATTGTTCCATCTCAAATAATATTGCTTCTACCTCAATGGCATCAATGCGTTAGACACATTAACCAATTGCTTATCTAAATCCATTAGCTGGCCAATCTGAATACCAAAAAAAAGAAAAAGAAAAGGTGAGTTTATCTTAAACTTTTATCAACCCTCAATCATTTTTATTATACCTTACAACATACATGTTCCTTTTTTCATTATTTTTCATTTTCTTTGTAATTTCTAGGGGGGAAATGCGAGTATGTTAACTTTAGTGATAATACTTTTACATGCAACCATTATAATGCACTTTTTTGGTTTCAAGAACGTCTTGCATGTTCATCATAAAAGAATCCATCTTTCTAGCTTTGTTGCTTTAATGGTCGAGTTTCTCTTCCTACTATGCAACCAACCCCTCCAATTCTTGATTTTCTTCTTAATCCCAGTAATGGCTCTACCTCTAAAATTTTTTGAGATAATATAT